TTTTTTTTTCCAAAACTTTAACATGTAATACATATTATTACATAACATGTTATGTTGTAGTCATCCAACCTACTTTTTTTTTTTTTATTCATTTAAAATCTGGCCATTTTTTAATGTAATTTTTTTTTCGATGTTTCTGCTGTCGTTGCATTTATTAAAAACATAACAACTGATCTATTTTATTAATTGTTATTATTATTATTATTATTATTATTATTAGGGTCGTTACACATTTTGAATGTTAAAATAGGGGTTGGGAACCACTGCAATAAAGGGCCATAAAATAAAAGTTTTTAATCAATTTATTCTATGTTCTTTATTTTAAAGATCAATACTCATTAGTAAAAAGGATCTATTTTTATTTTCATCTCTGTTTACAGATAAATGTTTTAGCAGCCATGGTACATTATGAAAGTAGCCCAATAACACAACCTACAACTCTGTAATCTTTCCTGTGAATGCATTTTCAAAATGTATTTATTTATTTGTACAACCCCAATTATACAAATAAATAAATAAATAACAATCTGGTAACACTGCACGTTTGAGACACATAAAAAAAGTTATAACACTCCTTGGTCTTTCCTTAGCTTGCACAATATTGTAAACAAAATCTCAATTTCCCTTTAGGTGTGATTCTCTACATCCTGCTGGTTGGATACCCACCCTTTTGGGATGAAGACCAGCATAGACTCTATCAGCAAATTAAAGCTGGTGCCTATGATGTCAGTTTAAGCTTCCTTCATATAATATTGATGATAATGCCAGAAGTGCCAATGGATCTCTGATTAACACTTGGATCGCTCTGTTGCACCCACAGTTTCCTTCACCTGAGTGGGACACAGTCACCCCTGAGGCGAAAGATCTTATTAATAAGATGCTGACCATCAACCCATCTAAACGCATCACTGCTGCGGAGGTACTCAAGCACCCATGGATCTCAGTGAGTTTACAACTGAAATGCCATTTCTATCCTTCCATCAGTACTTTAGAACATATAAACGTGTTTTGTCTTAGGGCCATGAATTCAGTTAATTTAGTCAGCAAATGAATTAGTACATCAAGTTCAGAACAAGATTAAATACGAACAGAACTGATCAATAAATTGCAAAGAACAGCAGAGTTCACACCATAGCTATAATGATAATGAAACAATAACTTTCAAAATGATTGTTCGCATCTGATGAACAATAAAAACAATAACAGCCCATCAGAATCCATCCTGCTTTTAAAGCAGCAGACAACAAAACTGCAGTGCACGCTTATAATAAACAGAACATTATCGTGCATTGGTGTGGATGCTAATATAGTTATCATTATAATTGTCTTTATAGTCATCATTCTTTGTGTGAACAGGCCTTTACTGTTCACATTAATTTGCTTTGCTCATGTTTCATAAACAGTGTAATTGAGTAAATATTTTCATACCTTTTCTTTAGCATTTTGACAGCCAGGAAGATATAAAGGAAATATTTTTAGATGACTAATTCAATGTTTTTTTTTTATTATATAAATATTACATGTTCTGGAGATGGCTGCAGATTCTCCAAATTCTCCAAATAACCTTTGGTTTCACCTCTGTTTGCTTTTAGCATCGCTCCACTGTTGCATCTTGCATGCACAGACAGGAGACTGTTGAATGCTTGAAGAAGTTCAATGCTAGAAGAAAGCTCAAGGTAAGTTCGTATAAAGATGTGAGAAGCTCTCATATGTGACCTTGCACCACAAAACCAGTCATAAGGGTACACTTTTCGAAATTGAGATTTATAAATAATCTGAAAGCTGAATAAATAAGCTTTCCATTGATGTATGGTTTGTTAGGATCGGACAATATTTGGCGGAGAGACAACTAATTGAAAATCTGGAATCTGAGGGTGCAAAAAAATCTAAATATTGAGAAAATGGCATTTAAAGTTGTCCAAATGAAGTTCTTAGCAAAGCATATTACTAATCAAAAATTTCGTTTTGATATATTTACAGTAGGAAATTTACTAAATATCTTCATGGAACATGATCTTATCCGAATGATTTTTGGCATAAAAGAAAAATCAATAATTTTGACCCATACAATGTATTGTTGGCTATTGCTACAAATATACCCCAGCGACTTAAGACTGCTTTTGCGGTCCAGGGTCACATATGTGTTGCATTTAAAGTTCCGGGCTCGTAACTGAAAGGTTGCAGAGAATGAATAATAACAATAGTGCCCAGAGTGGCTCCATTTGAATAAATGATGGGTGAAAATCAGGCTATTAGTCCTTAACAATCACAGTTGTACACCGCTCTGAACTGAATACAAGAATGCCTTTTGAATTCTAATTCAGTTCCAGAATTTGAATTGAGGTAGCAAACAAGATGCAGAATTGCAATTTGAATTTGAATGTCTGAAGTAGAAATAAAAATTAATTCTTTTTTAACTATTCATTCTTTTTTTTAACTAGAAAAGACATACTTTGAATGTTGGTTTGACAAATGATTGTTCGAAAATGAAATAAAAAAAGGTCAAATAAAGTTTAAAGACCTTTAGGACTGATAGAAATGCCACCTATAGAAATGTGTATTTATTCATGTTAACATTCACCGTATTTATTAGTGAAATAAAACTTTTATGGACCAAGGTGGAAGAACATGTAATTTTCCTGAATGAATTACCACTGAATTACCATTACCATTATTTTAATTCCTCTTCCTATCATTCCATTTAAATTTCCTGTGGAGCAGATTCAATTCAAATTCCAACTAGTGAACTAAAAGGGAGCCAGTTCATAAGTTCTGAATTTTGCATAACAATACACCTTTGTTACTGAGAAAAATTTGCTAAAAACATCCTCTGCATGTTTTTTTTGTTTTTTTCAGGGTGCTATTCTCACTACTATGCTGGTCACCAGAAACTTCTCAGGTAACTCTATTCTATTTATATTATCTGCTGTATCTTTTTTCAACCCTATATGAAATTCTGCATGAGTACAGTATGCCTTGATCAGGAACCACAGATTATCTTACACTGGAATTGTTTGGATTCACGGTGCATTGAAGGTTTGTACAGAGGCTCGAAGTTTCTGAAAAGTTGTGCTTGACAACTCTAATGAAAGATGACTGATGCTTGGGTCTGGCATTTGCAAGCATTTGGAAATTTGATCAAACAAATTCAAATCACTGGCGTGTCTATCCAAGCCATGTCATCCTACCAAATTTAGCCCAAGAAGGGTTGGGCAAAGTAGTGTGAACACCCATTATTCTAGGGGTTAATATCATTTGTAGGCTATAATTAAAAACAACATTGTGTTCATCTTTTATCAGTGTAGTTTATGCTGTGTTCAGCAGTGTTTAGTACAAGTGGTCTGTGAAATTTGACAGAACAAATCATGGAAGCCCGTTTAGCAGGAGCGTTTTTACCCTAGCAGCCCAGTTGTTTGGAGTTTTAATTAAGAACAATAGTCTTGATGATTATGACTGCAGACAAAAAGCGTCAGCGATGGGCGAAAACTGAAGTGAATGATTGCCAAACAATAAGAAAGATTGTGTCCAAACAACACATAACTACTGCAGCAAAGTGACAGCAAACGTCAATATTCACTGTGAAGACCACAACAACTGTCCACAGAGAATTTCACAAAGCCAGCATCCGTGAAAGAGCTGCAACTGTGAAAATTTTAATCACAGAAACCAAGGCTAATGTGCGAAAAAGATGGAGCCATGATTATAAAACCTGGACTGCTGGAACACCAAGATGAGCTTCAACATCTGCCCAGGCCAGACAAATCAGCTGACTTGAATATTATATATTCATATATAGAAGAGTGAGAAGCTGATTCCGTCCTCCATCATCTCTGAAGAAACTCACAGATTTTCTGATAGATGACATTTCATTCGAGAAAGTTGAGAATCTATTTTAGGAGGGTCGGAAGCTGTATAAAAGACAGATGGTGGTAAAAGAAATGTTGCCTATTTGTTCACATTATATTGTCCAACCCCTGTACTAAACATAGATACTGATAAGTGAATGAGAAACCAGTGTGAGATGCAAAGTTCCAAGTTCTCAGTATACAGGTGATACAGGTGACCTCTGGTGGTGAGATGACGGTACAACTGTTATAACTCATAACAGATCCTAGATGGAGTTATAATGCATGGAAGTTGTATTATAAGCAAGAATGCTCATACGTTTTTCAGTCTGGATCTCACGAGAGCACCTGGAGATTTAGTTTGGTGCTCACACTGCACATAGTGTGACCCATTAAATATAACAATAAAATAATTAATAATAAAAAAAATAACAATATTAACAATAAAATAATAAACATACATATATAATTGTATTTTTATTTAATACTCACAATTTATTTTCAAATATAATAGCATAATCGTATTAGTATTATTATCCTATGATGATGGAAATCACTGAACTGAACAAACAGTTCGACTCGGACGAAAGAGCCACTGATATGAGCACGTGTGACCCGAGCACTTGAATGAAGGGGCCAAATTAACATTTTTATGGTTTCTCATGGTTTATGTAAAAAGTTGAGTTGATTAGTTTACTCACTTAATATGCATTAGATATGTAAAACATCCATGCTTCCCAGCATTATTGGGTGCTTTAATAATATAATTGTGTATATGTGATGTTATTGCGAAATTAGCCAACATAAATTGACTAGTGAATCAGTTAGAACCAGTTTGAAGAACCAGTCTGTTTGCCTGAGTCTCTGGATTACAAGGAATAATGTTGTAAATAATGTTCAGTTTCTTGTAAAGGCCGATCGTTTCACGTCATAAGGCCTCAATATATCATCAAGGACCATGGTTTCAGCTACAAATCATCTTTACTGTTTTACTGAAGATAAAAGTCATCTACATCTTGGATGGCCTGAGAGAGAGAAAATTAACAGCAACATTTCATTTTTGGGTGAACTATTCCTTTAAGATACAAAGTCACAATTATGAAAAACAAAATTACTTTTAAATCACACAGTTGGAATGTGAAGTTGCATTTGCTAGATTTTATTTTATTTCAATGTAGATAGGGACCATGCATGTCTATAGAAATGTTTTCAAATAGTAGGAGATCATGGAGTGAACAGGGAATAAATGCCACAGATTCAGGGGCATCCCGATTCCTTAATCCGATCCTATTTGGAAACTATTTTCTTTTTTAAGAATTCTGTTGCTTGTGTGGGTGTCATGCGGGAGTGGGCCTGTAAAAGGTCAGCAATGTCCGATCTAAAATAGATTGCTCCACCTGTTCAAGTGTAGCAGCCGTAGCTTTTGCACAGGCCATTCTATCACTCCCAAACACTCTTGATCATTCATCACATCCTGTCTATTTTTACCCGGAGCGGTAATTCTCCACTAACTACTTTAAGATAATGTCCAGCGGAAACATACTGGCTTGAGTCAGCAGTGCACTTTTAGGTTTTAGTAACTCTCTCTGTCCATTATTATAACATTTAAATTGTGATACAGGTCAAGCGTGTAATGCTTAGATCAAGACCATGTTTATATGTTTAGAGTACCTGCACTTTTTACACATTTGAAGTAGCAAAGTTTTTGATAAAAATAAACAAAAGTAAGGAAATATCCATCCCGTAACAGTTTTTTTTTAATGTATCCTCAAAAAATAACTTATTTTGGCTATCATTAGACTTTTATTTTTGGACTAATTCTTGTGTGCTTTTTGTTATTTTTGTTTGCTTTTTTTTTTGGTTAAAATCTAAATGTATTAATATTTTGCTCCCACTTTATATTAAGTGGCCTTAACTACTATGTACTTACATTTAAATTAATAATTTGGTACAATGCACTTATTGTGTACATACATGTTTTTACATTGTACTTATATTTTAAAAATACCTGCATGTAATTACATCTGTAATTAATTTCTGTAATTACATTTATAATTACACTGTTGACCCACCCTTAAACCTACCCATACCACCAAACCTGTCCCTAACCTTACCCATATCCCACCTCGATAGCAGCAAAAGTGATTTGCAATACAATATGAACACAATAAGTACATTGTACTTATTTTTGGATGTAAGTACATAGTAGTTAAGGCCACTTAATATAAAGTGGGACCCATATTTTTTTAACATTTGATATTCACTCCCTGTTCCTGCTTGTTTGTTTAGAGCAGCTTTTAAAAGTGAAGCGTTCCTGGAGTGTGGGAGTATGTGATTATGTATGCTGGAAACTCCCAGGACCTATTTTAGAAAGTCAACAGATCCTCCAGAGCCAAAATCCATCTGGAGAGCTGAGCTGTGCTATGCCCCTCACTATGCTTTTCTGGGCTTTTGTGCCCTTTCTTATAGCAATTTCGCTCTTTTTCTTTATCTCTCATTCAGGAGGAAAGAGTGGGGTCAGCAAGAAGACAGATGGTGTGAAGGTAGGATGGAAATCAGATATTCACTGTTTAGATAATTGATTCAAATAATGATTGCAATTGATCCTGTTTAAATTTAAGTCTATAATATGCACATTGCAAACTTTATTTTGTATATTATGTTATATTTAGGGCTGTCAAGCGATTAAATTTTTTTTAAAATCTAATCAATTACGTGATGTGCCGATTAATTAAATTAATTGCACATCAATTTTGGCTGAGAAATTAACCTCCAAAAAGATTTTTTCATTTTTGTGTTAGATGAGTAAAGCATTGAATAGACATTACAAAAAGTAGCGTTAGGGGCCATTTACACGACAACGTTTTCAGCCAAAAACGTGAAAATTTTATGCATTTTATGCATTTTGCCTGTTCGTTTACACGACAACGGCGTTTTGGGGACTGAAAACGCATATTTTTGAAAACGAGTTTCAAAGAGCAAGTTTTTGAAAACGCCACCGTTGTCGTTTCCGTGTAAACACCCAAAACGGGAATCTTAAAAAACAGCTATGCGCGTGCGTAGTACGTGTTAGGTATGTATACATGCGCAGTACGTGTCAATTTTAAAGGCAAGCGCGAACAAACATACACAACAATGGCGGAGTACATGGTACGTTGCTGTTTAAGAGTTTGCTAACGCTTCTTCAGCAAAGTGTGGATTTACTTCTCCAATATTACAACCAACAGCGGAGATGCATCATATACGTCACTTCCCTACAGGTACTGTTTACTAACAAGGTGACAGAGCCAACTGCTGGCCTGACATACGTAATACAGCGTTTTTGGCCGTTTTCGCGGATATGTGTAAATGCGAATCGTTTTGAAAACATTATCGCGTATAGGTGAAACTTTTTTTAAATGCAAGGGACAAACTTTTCCGTTTTTGACTACATCGTTGTCGTGTAAACGTAGCCTTAGAAAGAAATATTTTGATTCAGCCTTGCATAACGATAATAAATGTGTATTAATGTTTTTAATGAATATTTAAATATGAAATGATTTTATAAAAAATGATACACTCATTATCAAACTTAAACTACCAGTAGGTGGCGGCAAGTCACAGACTTCATAAGCGAGTTGTTCATTCAACCGATTCATTCAAACGTTTGATTCATTCAGAAATGAAGCAAGTGAACGTCTTTATGAATGGCTCACTGAATCATTGGCTCATTTGATTCTTTCAAAAACATGGATTCATTCGTTCAGTAAGTAAACATTGTTGCATGTTGCTCAGAGAAGCGACAGTTTTGCTGTTACTTCGTTAGGAACAATTTTCATTGGCGAAATTGAGCAAAATATAATATAACTGCATACACATATATTAGCTACAAAAGTTAATCAGTGAGTGAGTGCTTTCTCTTTTTCTTTTGTTTTTTGATTTACATCATTGACGGACTGCAGCAGGTTTCACTTTAAAAGCAGCGCTGTCTCTTTAAAACCTGACGCACGTGATGCAAATCTGACACATTTCCGGTTTTCTCCCAACTCTTTACGGTCATTTACAGTGTTGCCAAGTCCGCGGTTTTCCCGCAGAATTGGGCTACTTTACCACTGTTGCCGCCGGATGTTTTTCATGTCCGCGGGTTTAAGCGACTCCAATAACATGATATTTATCCCCTGGAATGCGAATTTTAGTAGGGGAACCCCGCCAAAAAACTTGTATTTTACCCCCCGGAATGCGATTTTTAACTGGGGACCCCCTCGAAACGCAATAGAGTGGGGGAACTATGACGTCAGAACCCGGAAGAGTAATTCGCCACGGGTTCCTCCTTTCCTATGGGGTTTTATAATGTTTTTTTTTTTAATTTATGAGTAAAATAAAGCCTGTGGTAAACATAACTTGACGGTACTTCAACGTTCTGTTCTACAACGTAAATTACAAACGTCCATACCCAAAACAAAAATTTTGAAGCAGTTATGTTCATTTTTGAAAACGTACGTTTTTAATAAGTAACTAGATAAGAACGTTTGGACTGTAAGTGTGTGCAATTTACATTATAGAACAAAACGTAGAAGTATCGTCAAGTTATGTTTACCATAGGCTTTATTTTACTCATAAATTGAAAAACCCCATTATAAAACCCCATAGGAAAATCTCGAAGGATTTTGACTACATCGTTGTCGTGTAAACGTAGCCTTAGAAAGAAATATTTTGATTCAGCCTTGCATAACGATAATAAATGTGTATTAATGTTTTTAATGAATATTTAAATATGAAATGATTTTATAAAAAATGATACACTCATTATCAAACTTAAACTACCAGTAGGTGGCGGCAAGTCACAGACTTCATAAGCGAGTTGTTCATTCAACCGATTCATTCAAACGTTTGATTCATTCAGAAATGAAGCAAGTGAACGTCTTTATGAATGGCTCACTGAATCATTGGCTCATTTGATTCTTTCAAAAACATGGATTCATTCGTTCAGTAAGTAAACATTGTTGCATGTTGCTCAGAGAAGCGACAGTTTTGCTGTTACTTCGTTAGGAACAATTTTCATTGGCGAAATTGAGCAAAATATAATATAACTGCATACACATATATTAGCTACAAAAGTTAATCAGTGAGTGAGTGCTTTCTCTTTTTCTTTTGTTTTTTGATTTACATCATTGACGGACTGCAGCAGGTTTCACTTTAAAAGCAGCGCTGTCTCTTTAAAACCTGACGCACGTGATGCAAATCTGACACATTTCCGGTTTTCTCCCAACTCTTTACGGTCATTTACAGTGTTGCCAAGTCCGCGGTTTTCCCGCAGAATTGGGCTACTTTACCACTGTTGCCGCCGGATGTTTTTCATGTCCGCGGGTTTAAGCGACTCCAATAACATGATATTTATCCCCTGGAATGCGAATTTTAGTAGGGGAACCCCGCCAAAAAACTTGAGCCCTTCAGGCTTATTTGTAAACAACATGGTATATGTGTTGCAGCAGGGTTGGAACAAAACTGTGCAGGGCTCCGGCCCTCCAGGAACTGAGTTTGACTAGGGCTGGGACAATAAATCGATGCATCGCGAATCGAGAAAGGATTCTGCATCGATTCTGAGATTTTCCTAAGGCATCACGCTTCTATTTTTAACTGGGGACCCCCTCGAAACGCAATAGAGTGGGGGAACTATGACGTCAGAACCCGGAAGAGTAATTCGCCACGGGTTCCTCCTTTCCTATGGGGTTTTATAATGTTTTTTTTTTTAATTTATGAGTAAAATAAAGCCTGTGGTAAACATAACTTGACGGTACTTCAACGTTCTGTTCTACAACGTAAATTACAAACGTCCATACCCAAAACAAAAATTTTGAAGCAGTTATGTTCATTTTTGAAAATGTACGTTTTTAATAAGTAACTAGATAAGAACGTTTGGGCTGTGAGTGTGTGCAATTTACATTATAGAACAAAACGTAGAAGTATCGTCAAGTTATGTTTACCACAGGCTTTATTTTACTCATAAATTAAAAAAAAAAACATTATAAAACCCCATAGGAAAGGAGGAACCCGTGGCGAATTACTCTTCCGGGTTCTGACGTCATAGTTCCCCCACTCTATTGCTCATAAATTGAAAAACCCCATTATAAAACCCCATAGGAAAATCTCGAAGGAAACCGCGGTGAATTACTCTTCCGGGTTCTGACGTCACAGTTCCCCCGCTCTATTGGGCTAGTTTTGAGTAGCGATTGGGCAGGTTTTCTTGTGAAAATCTGGCAACCCTGGTCATTTAGGACTGTCTAACTCAGGGGTGTCAAACTCAATTCCTGGAGGGCCGGAGCTCTGCAGAGTTTAGATTCAACCCTAATTAAACACACCTGATCCAACTAAAGCCCTTCAGGCTTATTTGTAAACAACATGGTATATGTGTTGCAAAATCGATTCGAGAGAGAGTCACAATGCATTCCGAAAATCTCAGAATCGATCCACGAATTGCGATGCATCGATTTATTGTCCCAGCCCTAAGTTTGAAACCCCTGGTCTAACTCATTTAAGACTATGGTTATGAGGTCACTGGCCAAAAACGGGCATTTTGACATAATTGTTTGTGTTTTTGTCATAGACTGTATAAAACAGGTTTTTGTCCGCGAAAGAGAAATCACTGCGCTTCTCGCGCTACTGGCTCACTGTCTGAAGCTGCTTTCTGTGCGCGTACACGTGTCGGATTTACAGAGAGCTGATCTCAGATGGCGCACCAGTAACTTCTCTTTTGCGTCTTATCGTGCTTGATAGCGTGTTGTTCATATAGTCTACTGTAATGATAGCCAAAGGGATGCCAGGAAAAAAAATGGATGCTGCGTTAAATATTTTTAAAATGTAAAATGATAAAAAACTCAGGCACACCACCATTGGAGGCACCATCACATTTTATATGCTTGATAATGGTTTTATATAACTTAAATAAAAATAATTCATATGATTTAATAGATATCCTTATTCTGAACAACTTTTTTTAAGTACTGGTATCAGTCAGATTATTTGCCACACACAAAAAAACGACTTTTGCAAGCTTGTCCTTGTCCTCCATCTAATGAAAAACAGTCTAGGGTGATTTTCTTTTTTATTTCATCGGTCAATAACTTTCAAAAACATGTTGAAAATTCTATTCAGCATGATTTCCACAGGGCCATTAATAGTTATAGCGTAGCTTAATATCCTCAAAAATCTGTCACCTGAATGAAATATCCTGGTTTTGACAAAACTTCAAAGGTGTGAGTCTGTGGAAGCATGTAAAAATTTTTCCGAACAAAGGCCATAATGCAATAAGAAGACTCATTTTACCATCATTAAATAAATTACCACTTTTTCTGCCAAATAATAATTATATTAAGCACAAACACTGAAACTGGTTGAGAACTTCATATGAGCAAATGTCAGATGCGCAATAAACAAATCAAACGTGATTAAATGGACATTGCGGAAGATCAAAGCAAGAATTACAATCACTCATTGTTTATTTAGCAAGAAACTAACACCAACAATAGCATCAAAAACATGTAACACACTGTATAAAATAGAATATAGTAAATGTTGATTTTGTATGCTGGAAATTGTAATACTTTCATCAAACTTCTACAAAATATTTTGGGATAAATATTGGTATAGTTCTTGCAAAATGTATAATTATATACATTTTCCATACAGCTTATGCTCTATTTTATTGAAGTATTCTAAAACCATACAATCATCTATGGAACAGATTGAAATATAAGTCAATAGTCACTGAAAATCTGTCCCGATCTGATTTGTCTCAATGGGTGGTCATTTCATTTGAGACTTGTTTTTCATGAGACCAGGTAGGTTTGTACAATAAGTGCTTTCTGAAGTCTTATAAGACATTCAAGAAATAAACATAAAATGTAAGGTGGATTGTGTTTGAGAAGGACTGTAGACTGTTGATGCAAGAACTCTTACACAACACATACAGTGTTCAGAATCACAGCTGTTCCTCTCATCGCCCTCTGTCCATCTCATAATGTTTGTTCCTGTCTAACCTCTTCTCATTTTTCTTCCAGAAAAGGAAGTCCAGTTCCAGCACCCAGCTGATGGTGAGTGTGAAACAGGCTCCATCCTGTTGACAATCTGCCACAAACTGGCAAACTTTAAAGGTCGCAACCCAACAATGAGTAAAGCATGGCTGCCATGGAGCTGGACTTTCTTTTTTTTTCTGTTATTGATGTTACATCACATTTGTAAAGTTGATGGAAATCTGACTCATTTATTGTTGCAGGACCGAAACTGCTGACTAGAAATCCTCTGATTTTCACCAATTATTTCTTTCTTGAAGGCACAGAGAAAGTAGCCGGTCAACTCTGATCATGCTTTATGTGATCTTGGCTTTGAAACTAACAATAAAAAAATCCTGAATCTCAATGTGTCATTTATAGGAATCATCAGAGAGTACCAACACCACAATTGAGGATGAGGATACTAGAGGTGAGACTGTCTGTCTGCTGGTCTTTTTCTGATTCTAGGGATTCAGAGCACTTCACATTTCCTCCAGTTTCTGACAAAACTTAGCAGTAGCTCCGTCAACAACATGTTCATTTGAATTAAAGGGATAGTTCACCCAACAATGAAAATTTGCTGTTAATTTACTCCAAGATGTAGGTGACTTTTTTCTTCAGTAGAACAGTTTTGAGCTGAAACCGTGGTCCTTGGTGATTCATAAAATGCAAGCCAACAGCTACCGGTTTTTGAAAAAAAAAAAAAAAAAAGGCATATAAGGGACACTAAATTAATACCCGTGGCTCCTGGTAATATATTGAGGATAAAATACTGAAGTCTGTGTAAGAAACTGAGCATTATTTACAACATTATTACCTGTAATCCAGAACCTCAGGTCCAGAGTGATGTTCGGTTCAGAATTGAATCATTCTTTTGAACCGCTTCTTCTTAGTGAACTAGATGAACCAGTTGACCAAATAGGACTGAATCGTCTGAAACAGTTTGTGTCTCGAGCAGCACAGATCTACAAGTTACTCAATCAAAACTCACTTTCAGACGCCTGACAGTCACTGTGACTAGAAATAAGCCAAAATACATGCAAATCTGATCCTATGATGAATGAATCATTCAGCTCTCCAGTTCCTCCAACAGTCACTGAACTGAGAAAACCGTTCGACTCGGACCGAAGACCGATGAGCCGCTGATATGAGCATGTGTGAACCGAACACTTGAATGAAGGGGTGAAATTAAAGTTTTTATGGTTTCTCATGGTTTATGTAAAAATGTGAGCTAATTAAGACCAGTTTATTCACTTTATATGCTTTAGACATGTAAAACATCCACGTTTCACGTCATTATTGGGTGCTTTAATAATATAATTGTATAGACATGACGTCATTTTGTGATTACGCAAAAAAAAACTGGTGAATCAGTTATTTGAACCTGTTCATTTAAACAAACTGTCCGAAAGAACCTTTTCCCTGAAAAGAATCAGACTTCTCCGTTTGCCTGGGGCTCTGGATTACAGGTAATAATGTTGTAAATAATATTCAGTTTTTTGCACAGACCGATCGTTTCACTTCATAAGACCTCAATATATCGTCAGGAGCCACAGGTATTAATTTTGTGTTCCTTGGTATATGCTTTTTTTAAATCTCAAAAACGTTCAGCTGCTGACTTGCATTTGAATCACCAAGGATCATGGTTTCAGCTAAAAATCTTCTTTACTGTTCTGCTGAAGGAAAAAAATCATCTACATCTTGGATGGCCTGAGGGTGACTAAATTAACAGCAAATTTCCATTTTTGGGTGAACTATCCCTTGAATTAAAGAGCAGGTCATATGGTATTTTAAAGTGTCCTAATATTGTGTTGGAGTCCCCTACAACAGGTTTAAATGCATCTAAGGTCAGAAAACATTGTAATTTTCTCAAAAAATACATTTAATATTAGAGTCATTTGCCAGTGATTTCTAAACTGTTCGTTCCAAGCAAGTTCGGAACAAACCCCTCCCTTCCATAAGCCTACTCTGCTCTGATTGGTCAGCTGGCCAAGCCCGCTGTGATTGGCACAGAGAGGAGTCCTTGAGCAAGTTAGCGAGTGCTACCATTGACAAAGCACCTTTACATAAAACAATAATATAGTGCTCCAATCCGTTCTTATAATAATGACATAAAATACAAAAACACTTATGCAAGCAAATCGTGCC